GTTAGCCATGCATGACTTGTTATCTGACTCTGGCAAATTTTTGCGGTGTTTTTAAATGTTTTCAGGTTCATGATTTTGTATTTGTTCTGGCAGAAGAGAACAAGCGTCTAGTTGCCTACTTGGAAGACCTATATGAGGATTCCAGAGGCAACAAGATGGTTGTGGTGCGCTGGTTTCACAAAATTGATGAGGTTGGTATTGTTTTGCCTCACAGTTTTAGTGACAGAGAGGTTTTCTTTTCTCTTTATCTTCAAGATCTGAGTATTGAATGCATAGATGGATTGGCTTTCGTCCTCAGTCCACAACACTACGAAAAGTTTCGGAATGAGGCCCGACGAACCCACTTGGAACCATTCGTGTGCATCCACCAGTTTGATAATGATGATGTGAAACCCTTTGATATAACACAAATTAAGGGTTATTGGAAACAGGAAATACTAAGGTACATGTATACCCAATTGGACTCAAAGTGTAGTGGGAGTTCTGGGCAATCAGATGATGTTCTTGAACTGGACGAGAATCATATGTCAACTATTTTGATCAGACCTAAGAAGAGGCTACGCCTTGCCAAAGATGATGCCAAAGATGCAATTGATTTAACTGCCCTTAAATCGGAAAATCTGAAGAACATTAAGAATAATACCAAAATCAGTTCTGGAAACAATGCCTTGAAGCTGGTCGGGCACAGAAACATGACAGCAACGATTAAAGGGACGAATGACCATTCTTCTCAGCATTTACTTCTAGGTTCCCAAGTCGAGGTTCTCTCTCAAGACAGTGGGATGAGAGGATGCTGGTTTACAGCTTCTGTCGTCAAGAGACACAAATGCAAAGTGAAGGTGCAATATCGAGACATTCAAGATGCGGTTGATGAAACCAAGAAGCTTGAGGTACGTTGAAACTATCTGTCTTTGTTCTGGGTACCGGAAAAACATTTGTGCATATATGGGGAGTATAATATAATCGTTTTTTTTTTGTTCTTTGGTTAAGGAATGGGTTCTAGCTTCCAGAATTTCAGTGCCTGATAGTCTGGGTCTTCGAATGCATGGGAGGACGATAGTCCGGCCAGTTCCATTGTCCAACAAACGGGAATTATCCTGGGTTGGTGATGTTGGTTCCGTTGTTGATGCCTGGTGGCATGATGGATGGTGGGAAGGATTTGTTGTTCAGAGAGACTCCGAAGCTAATTATCATGTTTATTTCCCAGGTATGGCCCTTTACTCTTACGATGTTTTTCATCTTAAATATAGGTGTCGGCTTTTGTAAATATTTGATGTCCACATAATATTAGGTTGTTTTACTTCATTACTATGTGTAATTATGATTGATCATTATTATAATGTCTTTGCAGGGGAAAATGTAGTGTCAGTATTTGGTTCTGGTAACTTAAGACAGGCTCAAGATTGGGTAGGGAATGAGTGGGTGAATGTGAGGGAAAGGCCTGATCTGGTGGCGTCTGTTTTATCAAGCTTGAAAACACCACAAAACTCGTCCAAATCCAATGAAAGCAAATCAATCGCAGCATCAACTAGAGATGGAATACAACATAAGCCATCAGATACTTGCTTGAATTCTGATAGGGATAGACCAAAAAAGCCCGTAGACTTTTTGAAGGATGATTTGCTATTGCAGTTAAGGTGGATGACCACCAGAAAGAGGAGACATGGTAGTACCACTTATCGGAAGCCACGGTTCACCGAAAGCCATCGGAAAAGGTCGCCAAAGGTTATGAAATCAAATGCTCCTGACAGGTTTGTGATCCCAGCATCATTGAAAGTTGATCATGATGACTGCAAGTATGGAGGAGGGGATCCTTCCATTTTCACTTCTTCAGTTGTGCCTTCTTTAACTAGCATGGTTATGTGTAGGTGACTCCATTGATTCATATCTTAGGGGCATCCTTTCGATGCCTATCAAGCCGAGATTTTCATCTAGGGTTTCTTCATCCATGTTAACATAGAAAATATACCTTAGGTTAGTCCTTTTTCTTCCCCACCTTTCATTAGTTTGTTTGTGTAGTTTGTGGCATCGAAGCTTCATTCCAGTTGGGTGTTTGAATCCGAATAGAAGCAGCCCAAGGAGGCGAGGATGATGCATACAAGTTTTGGCGTAGGAAAAGTGTAACGTAGTGGAATAACTGAGGATGACTTATAGGATAGATAAAATGATCCAATGTAATCTGTGTAACTTTCTGCTATAAGAATTGAAATTTGCCTGTTCTTTTATATTTATTTTGAGCTGAATATTATGTTTTCGATTTATGAAGTTAATGAAATTATTTTCATTTTAATTATTTTAAATATTTACTAAATTGTAACTAGTATAACTCAGCAAAAAGTAAAATATTTTACTAATTTAAATGGTTCATTGATCCACATGCATGAAGTAAAAACTAGTCAATTTGGTTGAATTTAGCATCAGAGAGTGGAAGAAGGAAAGAAGAGTTTAAGTAAAAGTAATGACAGTGATAGCGAGGATATTTATGAAGATGAATAGGACCAGCGCATTTGTGGGTCAAAATTATGTAAAATTAGTAATAGCCGCCGCCTAGTAGAAATACAATTAGAAATTAGAAAACTCGTGCAAACTAATGAACAGTTGTTCAGCTTTTTTGTGCCGTGCACGACTACATTAAAAGAACCATCTCGAATAGACCGATGAAGCGAAATGGGATAAGGAGGAGGGAACCCTTTTATTTATTTATTTATTTATTTATTTATTTATACTTTATGTTTTTATTTATTTATTTATATTTTACGTTTTTGGTCCACAAGGTGGAGCCACTTGTTTGACTTTAGGTAAGTCGTGGATCCAACGCTTGCCACTAAGCAAGTAAACTTTTGGATAAGGGCTATCCTAAGAAGGGCCTCCCTTCTATGTGTTTTCAATAACTCTCCTTTCAAATGAATTTTACTAAAATCACAAATATTTAATTCATAAATTACCTCTTACATGATTTTACTACCTTATAAACTAATAATTTTAAAATAAGTTCATGTTGGTTGTCAAAACTAATTCGGAGTATGTTTGGAATCATTTCTTTATAAATATTTTTATTAAAGAAAAATGAAAAGGAAAAATTAATCCAACTTTTCTATTAAAATTCAAATTATTCTTTAGTTTTTTGAAGTTTAATTTCTAATTTATACATAACTTAATTTTAAGTAATGGAGATATTGATTTACTTTTTCTTCTATATTTTTCTCTCTTATAAGTGATTATAAAGGATTTCTTTTTTACAAACACACCATATATGTAATTGTTATATATTTTAAAGTCTTGGTTAATGATGTTTGAGGCTATTTGGACCACTTTCTTTATTAAAAAGTGCTCTTAGAAGGGAAAAATAATTGAAGAATAAAATCAACTTCACTTCTCTTTAGGTTAAAATTAGCTTGTATATAAAAGTGAAACATAAAAATTTAGAAAATTTATGTAGAGGTTTTACAATTTAATTTGTTCATAAATAATTTAGACTTTAAAATATTAAATTTTGTGTTGGTTCTTTTTCATTTGGTGAATTGTCTAATGACAACCTTTAGTTGGTGTTACGGTGTTTTGGATGTATTTGCATATATTTACGGTGTTTATTAGATAGTTCTTTGCATATATTTATGGAAATTAGTAGATAATTGCTGTTAAATAGTTAGATGTTCCATTATTTTGTTATAGTTGTAACAATTCTATTATATAAGTCTAACTATTATATATAGATGGTCCATTATATATAGTTGTGACTTATATAAGTCTATTATTTTGTTACAGTTGTAACTATTTATTTTTTGTTGGATTGTGTAATTTGTTGTTGATTATTTTTGTAATTTGTTTTTTCTTGTTTGAGTTTATGTACTGTAGTTTGCATAATTTGTTGTTGATTATTTTTGCATAATTCGTTGTTGATTATCTTTGTAATTTGTTTTTTCTTGTTTGAGTTTATATATTGTCTTTTGCAATCTATGTGTTTATTTTTGTATGTATGCATTATAAGAATATTTATATAAAATAATTTTATCTTGTCCTTCCTTACCAGTTAGTCTTAATGTTACAAAAAAAAAAAATGTCAAAATGGTTGAATAGCTTCTAAGTGCACTCTTGTTGTTCTAGAAAGAGCTTCTTCTAATCACTACCTTGCCTAATCATCATGACAAACTTCTACCAGTAACCTTCAAGCCTTTCATTTCAAATTCACTGATCAACAAATTCAATAGATTGTTTAGTGTTTAACGTGCCTTCTTGGTCTTTAATATCCTACATGAAAAAGAAATATTTTTTTTCTTATTTCCTCTCCTTAAAGTTCCTTAGAAAAATAATATCCAAATTAACTTTTAATAGCAAGGACCACATAAAAGAAATGCATTTTAATACAATAAGAATGAGTAGACACGACAAAGGACGTTAGGAACTAAGTCTAGAAGATTGACATGTTGAACAAAATTAGAAGTAAAATAATTACATGTCTTAAAAATAATAAGACATCAATACTAGTGTGTCAATGTGTCAATGCGATTCAAACTTGATTGATTATATATATGATAAAATCTTCCACACATGTATTAACTCTATTACCGGGTGGAAAACCTCGTCGTATAAATTGGTTTTGTCGGATTGAGTTAAGTTTAAAGTTCATTTTTTAATATAGTATTAGAGGCATAGTTGAAATTTTTCCTAACAATATCTATGTGACATTCTGTTTTACCCGGTATCGCCGGACCACCCATGATAGACCTTTCACAAGCAAAACTTTTGATAATCTTGATTACTATAATTTTGATGGTTGGAGCTTGCTTAGTCGCTTTCTTGATGCTGCTGAGCCAAGAGGCCCTTTAAACACCATTAGTTTAATTGATTCATGGAATTAGGCTACAACCTGGTTTAATAAGCAAGCTTGAAGAAATAATTATTGTGAAGAAAAAAACAATTAAGCAGTATGTGGGGCTGCTTCAGCACGTTAGTGAAAGAACAATCTCTGTCAATTTGGCATAGAACCTTTTTCACTTTACCATACTGTGCCATTATGCTCTCTGTACAATTTTTTCTTTTTCAACCAACTACTTAACCATTGAGATGGGGTAGCTCCATCACTGCAACACAAGCAGTTCATAGATCGTTTTCTCCAAATTTCTCTCTCCACAGAATCAGATTGATGCTGCAAACCTGTTAAATATATATTTATATATTTATAAGGTCCTGTATGAATCTGTTGCACACCTAATCACAGGTATGGATTTGGAAGATGGTGCTAAAAGGGAGCTTGAGAAAGTAGTTGGTGTAAAAAAATCAAAGGGTTTTCCTCTTGGTGGGAGTAGAACTAGTCTAGCTTCTATGGAGTCCTTGTCCATGCCTCAGGTTTGTGTGTTAGCTTTGTCATGTTTTGGCTTTTTGCCTTGGATTTCTTGATTTTTAAGGTGATGGTTTGATATGGTTCAAACAGGTTCAAGAGGTTGTTCTCTCTGCAGACATGCAATGTGAAAAGTGCCAGAGAAGGGTTACTGACATCATTGCAAAGATGAATGGTAAGCTTGTTTGTTTGATTGTTTGTTTTGTTATGTTCACTTTAGCTGTAGATGTTTGGCAAGAGAAAAATTTAGGTTGATTTTGAAGGGTCTGCAAAGCAAAAGAAATTTTTGATTGATATTGGTTCCAAGAGAAAAGTTTCTTAGGAAGAACAGTAGAACTAGATTCCCTTGGGGAAGCCAGAGAAGAGAGAGAAAGAGAGAGAAAGAGAGACATAATAAGAGGTGGTCCTTCTTGGTTTCCACCTAGGAATAGTCTGCTACATGTTTTGGAAGGATGTGAGGGTAATTTAATTTCTACTGCATTCATTGTTCTTATTAACTCCACCTTTGGAATCTTGTGTTGTTGATTCTTGTGGAAACTCTTGGTTCTCTCAACTACCCATGTTATTGTTAATTGCGTATTTGACATCTTCTGTGTATTCGACAACTAAGTCATAAAGTCACTTGGCCATCAACACATGAGAAACAACAAAACCATCACATGCTTATGGTTTAGTCTAGCGTAATTCTAATTCTCCTAAAGATTAAATAATGGACAATGATATTTCACAACAATTTTTTTACAATATTTTAACATCATTTACGTGTTATTATGTGATTGATCTATGTTAATGTTTATGATTGTTATTATTGATTATGAAATAATTTTGGACAAATGATATTAAAATATTGTCAAAAAATATTGTCAGTAGAGTTTGATTTTCATATATTTCTATTATTTTAAATCAACAAAATGTTGTTTCTCAATAATGCTCAATTCAATTCTTTTAGGATGAATTTGAGTGAAGTAAAAAAGGAATTTAGATTTTTCCAAGAACTGCCGTAATGGCGAAAGACAAAACCGTTCATAATAACTTTGCTTATTAATTAGTGTCCATAAGACCCTTAGGGACAGATAAGGTTCGAAGCCCTGCAATGTTGGTGGTTGGTTGGACTTTTAATGTTGTTGCTCTTTTAACCTTCAAAATATTCTCTTCTTCATATATTAATTTTTTTAAATATATTTTAAGATATCTAAATTAGTCTACATGAGTGCAGAGTGATAGCACAAAAACAACTAGGAAAGAGAAGAAATACGTAGACTTAGTTCAGATGGTTTAAGATAGACTTAATTAGTAATTTAGTATTAAAATATTAAAATCGGTGTTCATTAATGTATTTTAGAAACAGATAACACAAAAGACTTAGAGAGTCCAAATTGGTAAATGTTTCTGTTTGGGGACGAGTCATCTAAATCTGAGGACACTCAGTCACGTCCGTTCGATCTCTCCTCGTGATCTTTCTTTATGTAAATCGGTGTCCGTCCGTTCTGTACGTCTGGGAGGATACTTGTCAAAGGTACTCCGATGCTTAAGTCAGTAAAAGGTCCAATCGATTGTTTTAGTACTGGAATAAATGCGCAATTAATGAATCTGCCTACTTTTTACCTTTTGACTTGTATTTATAGTTTTGGTCATGAACCTAGGATTAACAAGACTTTAATCACAGCCCAATCTCGAGCCTAAACCTCTAATCGATGTTTTACCTTAATCACCTTCGTAAATCTACATGTCATGTCATGGTCATCCGGATTGAGTTCTCGAGTACGGCCCACATGCTAAGTCTGGGACCGTTGGGGTCGTCTAATACATAAAATTGTAAGGTTGTTTTGTTTCAAAAAAACCAGTTAAATAAGATGATAATGTCTTGTATATGACGAACTTTGTGACAGATTTGTAATGGAATAAGTCTGTTGCTAACATTTGGTAGGTTTTGTTGATCTTGAGCAGAGACAGAGTCCGTAGTGTTTAATGTTTTGGAAAAGAAAGTGACACTTACTTTCAAATCAGCATCTATGGAGAAAGTTAGCACTCGACAAATTACTCAGATCAACAAGAATTCACTCCCCAAAATTGCCATCATCAAACGGATCTTTCGCTCTTCCCGATCTTGAACAAATATTCATAATATTTTTCTACACTCATTTCACTATGTACAGACCAAAATTTCTGGATTCATCATTCAATATGAGTTTGACAGATGAACTGTATTATTCATGACTCAATCTGATTTCCGATTTCTTTATTGAATTTAAAGAAATTATTACTAATTTTTTTATTCGAAGAGAACCTTATTGAACTTTTTATTCTAATACTTTTTTCTGTCTCGTGGATTGAAATTAGGTCACTTAAAGCTCATAATCATTTTTTCTTTTAGAATCAATCATCATCCTTTTTCATGTGCATGTGACTTTATTACTAATTTCTTGAATTCCTTTCGTTAGAACCAATGCATTGTTGGTGTTCATAGTGTGGTTATGATTTTGGTATGAAAAGAAATTTTAGTGGATTAAAAAAACATAATGTTTATAAATAGTTTCTAATATTATTAGGATGTATTGTATTGGAGTATTATCTGTTTTAAAATCTTAAAATTTCAGTTATAATTTTATTAAAAGGTGAATCTTAAAATTTCGTTATAATTTTATTAAAAAGTGAATTAGAGAGTTGAAGGAAGGAAGTGTAAAGACAAAATCATGAGAGGAGTTTCAGACATCAAAGCAGATCATATATTGAATACATTGATTAATTCTAATAATATTATCTCAGATTTAAAATAAAAAATAAATCATTTGTCAATTTTAAAAAATATAATCCTTTTAGATTTAAGTTTTTATAACTTTTATATTTGGATGATTTTTATAATAAAATCTCTTCCATTAAATTTACTTAGTGAAAAGTCAACAATATTATTTGTACATCTAAATGTATGACTTGTTAAAGTCATAGATAGCAACTTTCTACAAATAAGGCAAGAAAAGTATGGTTTATATGTGAGGTGTTGCTTTAATGGTGTTTATCAAATAACTTAAGAAACAAATAAAGAGATTCTTTACAGATTTTATTAGCATTATTGAAGGCTATGCGAAGCATGTGCACGAAGAGATGCTTCTCCTTGCCATGTTGTTTTCAAATGAATTAAGTGTAAAGGCAAAGTGACGGATAAAAGGAGTTATAAGACAAACAACTACCTTATATAGCTTCGTCCAACTCATGTGGAATCAGATTCCATGAATAAAAATGAATATGAATATGAATATAAGTTGATCCAAGATCACCATCATTTTCATAATTTCATATTCCATATTCTTTAGCACTCTACAAACTCCTTTTCCATTTGCCTTTGGCTCATCCAAAGTAAAAATCAATCGTGGGTTCCATCAATTCCCACCCTATGTCGGAAAAGGCAAGTTTTTCTTTTAACCCACAAAAAATTTTTCTTCTTTTAGGTCAAGTGTTTTTCTTGGTTTCTTAATGTTGTATGTTCCGTTTGTACAAATGCAGTATTGTTGCATGATCATGAGAATCAACGTCGACTGCAATTCTTGTTGCAGAAAATTAAGGAGAATCATTCTACGGATGAAAGGTAAATGACTTAGATGAATGTTGTAAATTAATTGTTAGGAAGTCTATCTTAATTTTATAAAATCGGTTTGTAAGGTGAGGTTTCTACTGATCTATATACTATAAATTGATCTTATTTATAGTCGATGTGAGACTTACAACATACCTTCACACAAATTTCGCTAAGATAGGCTCTAATACCATGTTATGTAGTTAACTTTAAAACTAACTCATCATCATATCGATAACGGGTGAAATAATATATTCACAGAAATCTCACTAGGATAGACTCTAACCTGACTCTGATACCACGTTAAGAAATGAACTTTAAGCCTAACTTAAAAGCAAAACAAAATTGGCTTATAAGATAAAGTTTACACCCACCTATATAGTATAAATTGACCTTATTTATAAATGTGGGATTTCCAATATTAATGATCATTGTTTTTGTTATTATCAATAAATAATATATTCACTCAGCAAGTGTTGAAAATTTTTAACAACCACTTTGTTTGTTATTTGATATTGAAGTAATAGAGAACCATTTGATAGAGAAGCAGCAGCGTAGGGTATGTGTGTTTGGCAGATTTGAACCAGCTGATGTTGCAATAAAGATAAAGAAGAAGATGAACAGAAGAGTTGAGATCCTTGAAGTTCAAGAAATGGAAGCAGAAGTTGAAAACGAAGGAGAATAGAAAGCAGATAGAACAGAGAATAATATCAACCATGCCATGCATGAGACAGTGTATATAATAGGTTAATTGCAAATGTGGTTGCTTCTCTAACTGTACTTGGAAATTGAAGTTGTTGAATTTGAAGGAACTAAAATAGGATAATGAAAAAACAAAGACACCATTTGCATGTACAATTCTTGGATTTATTTAATTTTATTTTTGTTACAATAAGTGGTAATAAGGTGTTTTTGTGGCCTAAAGTATCCAAATAAAACAAATTACAAAAATCAAGACATTTCAAAATATATAAATGAATATAAATTTTACTTTACAAGTCCCTCTTGTGAAATTGAGATAGAAAACAAGTTTAGGGAGATAGAAAATTAAATGGCCATATACTATGTAATTTGATGCAAAATTGTAGTACAAACTAAATGAAATGGGTGCCTAACTAAGCTAGAAAAAGTGTTAAAAATGAAGAAATGATTCAATATCAAATGCTCTGGTTGATGCAATGGAATAATGCTTTAACTCAAGAAAA